CAAATCATGAGATTTGTTCTTCCCAGAATGTTTGGATTGAGTCTGGTTGGTGTGTGAGGGACCCTAGCTTTGGTCACATTATGAGAAGACAAGTCACTAGAAAAGACAATAATGCTAGGAAAAGAGGGAGACCCTTCAGTCTGCAAGAGCTGAGCAAGGCTATTAATGATAGGACATTTTGAAGGCTGCTAATTCATAGATTCGGCATAAGTTGGAAATGACTTGATGGTATGTATGTAACACACACACACACACACTGAGATGCTTGTGTCTTTTCTTTTAGCTGATGGAGATGGGCTGATGGTCAGTAAAAGGTGCGTTATCATTGGCGGAACAATCAGTGGAGCAGTTATTATAGGGCTGATAATTTCTGTCATCCTCAACATCGTCCAGGGTGGTAAGTTCTTGATTTCCTTCTTGTTGTGATGCTGCTGCCTCCTATCTGGACCTAAAAGTCTTTCCTCAGCATTGTCTCAGTCTTCACTAAATCCCATCTGGTAGGTCATTCTGCCCACGTGGCTCCTTCTCTTCCACTCCCCGCTTCCCTCCTCTGCTGTTAAGTCAGTCTGGTGGAACGTGCTCCCCACTGAGACCAGGGCCCTGCAGGATCTTCTTCAATTCCGCAGGGCCTGCAAGACAGAGCTGCTCCGCCAGGCCTTTGGCTGAGGCAGTGGGCGTCCATGCATGGCCTCCCTGAGGTTCTTGTCACCCATCTAACAACTGCTGGCCATTATTTATGTGTCACCAATGGTCCAAGGGAACCTCTCGCCACCACTAATTTTCTGCTCTCGGGTTGTGATCACCATTTTAATACATGTGGTGGTGTTTTAATATTGTAATTATTTATTGTACTACTGAAACGTTGTTACCTGCCCTGAGGCCACTCACGGGAAGGGCAGGCTATAAATATGAAGGAATAATAAATAAATAAATAGACAGGGAGATAAAATACATCCTTGTCTGAAACCTTTGCCATTTGGAAACCATTCTGTTTCTCCATATTCTGTCCCTACAGTGGCCCTCTTGTACTTTGCAAGTCCAAACAGCCACTCGTAATTTTTATTGTTAGTATAACGATATAATCTCTCCCTTATATATAATTGAGTAAGACGCAGCGTAAGACTCAGCGGAGACAAAATGCGCTCCGTCAGCCATTGGCTGGCCAGCTGCCGCTCAAGCCTGCTGCCATGCCATTGGCTGGGAGGCAATCGCTGCGTGTGAACAGCGCAGCGGCGGCGATGCGCCCCTTGCCGCGGCCCGATTTCCCTCCCCCACCCACCCAGTTGGAGGCCGGCTGCGGCGATTCCTTCTCCCCCCCCCCTCAACTGTCTCCCCGGCTTCTC